CCTCCCCCCTCCCCTTCCACCACAACAGACTTATCAGCTGCACAGCTCTCCATGCTGTATTGGATTGCTATCAGGCAATATGCCTTCTTAAAAATCAGCTATCAGTATTGGCCCCAAAAATCTCCATTGGTGTACCCCTAGTTTTTCTCCTTTAAAAGACAAAATCCATGTTTTTGTCCTCAACAAGAAGAAAATCCTAATTTTTCTCCTTAAACAGAAAATCTGCACTTTTCCGTGATGAACAGAAAGCCCAGGTCCCTGTTTATTACCATGCTTACCTGTTCAGCTAGAGAAACAGATTCTTTAGCTTCAGTTAGGGGAGGCTCACTTTACATTATATTGGTAGTATCCTGAGTTTACAAAGCTTGCAAGCCTTTTCCATGCAATTCAAAGATATTTGAAGGTCCTAATGCAGCAAATTGCTTTAAGTATGTCCTTAACTTTAACAACATGAGTAGTCCCTTCCTTGTTTAGTTAATCACTTTAAGTGCATTCATAACTTAAGCATGTGTGTAAATTTCACTGTAGTCAATGGGACCTACATGCACAGTGTTAACATGTTTAAGTGCTTTGTTAAATTAGAGCCAGAGTAAGTAGGTAACTTTTAACAGGCACAGAATTTGGAATCCATGTATTGTGATCAGCTGTGAAGGTCTGTCTAATTAGCTTTTGTGTTGTCCTTTCCCTGCAGATTGATTTTGAAGATGTGATTGCCGAACCAGAGGGAACACACAGTTTTGACGGGATCTGGAAAGCTAGCTTCACCACCTTCACTGTGACAAAATACTGGTTTTATCGCTTACTGGCAGCAATCTTTGGCATTCCTTTGGCTCTCATTTGGGGTATTTACTTTGCCATTTTGTCATTCCTGCACATCTGGGCAGTGGTGCCTTGTATAAGGAGCTACCTGATTGAGATCCAGTGCATTAGCCGGGTCTATTCTATCTGCATCCACACCTTCTGTGACCCACTATTTGAGGCCATCGGCAAAATATTTAGCTCAATTCAAGCAACAGTACGGAAAGAAATATAAGTGACACTTCAAGGCAAGCTGTCAGTATGGAGAGGGATTTTTGTTTTCTAGGGAGTTTTTTGGTGCCAGTTTCAAGGCTCCCTAATTGATCTACAATAACAAATGGTGAATAACCTGGCCCAGAGCAGAGAATCACTTATTCACCATCCATTACTACTATTTAGCCCTACTGGATTTGTTTTTATCTTTTTTAGTCGCATTTTTCAAAGTAATCTTAAATTGCTACTCTCCCATTCCAGTTGAATATCATTTTGCTGACTATTCAATAAACAGATTGATGTGCTGTTGTTGGGGGTTTTTTATCCCTCCATTCATTCCTTGTAAGATACATTCACAATGATATAGTAAAGAACTGCTAAATGCTTTCCAGCACTATAATGCCACTCATTTTATTGTGGCTAAAGAGTATAAAGCTATTGAAGCAGAAAGAACATGAAAGCTGGCAGGTTTTAAAAGAATGTTCTTTTTCAATTGTATAATCAGTTGACTACAGCCATTTACTGTAATGGTCAGATATGGCCTAGTATGAACAGATAGATATAAACAAATTAATTAATATATGTCCTGAAAAAGCTAACACCATATTAGGTCAGAGACTTTGACACACAAAAGCTTTCCATGTCCAAATGCCGAATGTCCATAGAAAGCTAGTCAGTGCATTCCCGTGTCATTATCTTTTTTGAAAGTTTCTGCCAGCTGTTTGTTGGTCTTCACTGTGATTACAGAAGCAAACTAAAGAAGAAAGCTAGAAATGATTCCTATGAAAATGTTTTCCTGACAAGCACATTTAGGTGCTTATCACAAAGTCCTCTTTTTGCAGTGTTCATTATCAAATCAGTTTTATAAGGCCTGAGCCAATCCTGAGTTAAAAATAAAATCAAGGTGTGCCATGCCAACTATGAGCTGTCTCTGAGAGAAGCCAGCTTTCAAAACCTTCCTATCAGCTGAGGTCAGCATGCCGTTAACTCACAGATTATTTTCAGGAGAATTCATGCATCGCTGAGTCCAAAACTAATCCCTCACAAGAGATGGTTTAGGAACTACATATTGTGTTCTATTCTTTTAGCTTAGCTGCAGCCATTGGGAAGTCTTAATGGAGGGTATTGTGTGAAACTCAAATGTTGCAAAGTGTGAGCCCTAGAAAATAAAGCATTTTTGCAACATGTTTTTTATGCTGTGACCTGCAGGTGTCTTTGCCCTCACAATAATATTACTGTGTTCAGAGAATACTGTCATAAGGTTTGCATGAAGCTTTTAAAAATAGTTGTGAGGTTAATTTAGCTGGAATTAGCTTTCTTCTAAGCCCAACTTGGGAAATTTAGGGCCTAAACCTGTTCTTTTTGGTGTTAATGACAAAACACCCTTTGATGTTTATGGGTGCAAGATTGGGTTTTAAAATCCACATAAAACTGCCTTGTACACCTGAAGTTTTTCTTGTGCTGATACTGTTTTATCATGTTGCTTTATATGGATCAGGAGTGCCTTCAATTCTATTTCTGCCATAAATACATTTAAAGTTGTTTTAGAGGATGCATCTGCTGCTTTTTTGAGGGGCACATAAATTGCAAACCTATTAATGACTTTTGTTTGCATTTAAAACAGACACTGGTATGGATAAAGTTTTATGTTTTTCTATGTACATAGAGAGTGTACTAGTATTGTTTTTTTCAATATTAAAGGCAATATTATAAACAAGAAATATTTTATCTTTATGTGAGGAAAATCACTTTGAAAAAAAAAATGTGTATCTTGAAAGATGTCAGTTCACTTAAATTTATCAGCCCCTAATAGAAATACATTGCTGATCCAAAATATTTACATTGCTTTTATGTGCTTACAGATATAACAGACACTTTCTTTTTATTCTGCATGTACCATAAACACTACAGTCTGCACAATAAAAAAAAATGCTTAATGGTAGTTACTGTCTGAATTATTATTTTTTTTTACCTGAGAAGTTACTTTAATACAACTCATGTTATTTGGAAGCTAGCCAAATATTTCATGAATAAAGCACAAATATATCATGTAATGATTCTTGAGAAAGATCCTGAAAATAAATCTTGGGTGGTGACTCAGGGCTGATATGTGTAGATTTTCACAGTAGAAAACAATGCTTCCTTCTCACATTTGGATATATGTATTACAGTAAAACACTGAACAATCACACTCCCATTAACTGCATGTTCGATCAACCAAATGTGACACCTGCAATGTGTTTTTTCCCATCTCTTAAAGGTCTATAAAGACTTCTTGCGCCTTTTTGATGAGGAAAATTTACTATTTGTGAGAGCCTGGAAAAATCCTTTCCTGTGGGTTCATTTACACGAGATGTTTACTGCACAGTTCTTGCACAGTAGTATGCTGCACAGTAAATGCCGCACATCTACATGTGCATCCCTAATAGGCCAGAGTAGATTGATTAACAAGTACTATCCTGCTGCAGAGTTTTTACTCCACAGCAGCTCACATGTAGACACTGTCTTGGCTGGCTGGGGCATGAGAGTGCTTCAGTACGGGGCCTGTCTGCCAGCTGGCCCCACATTGAAGTACCGTCATGCCCCAGCCAAACCCTCCTCAGCACGTTGACCCAAGGAGCAGCTCTAGGCTGGCAAGCTAGCCAGCCAGGGCTGCTCCAACTCAAATCAATGTGCTGCACTCCTGGGGCAAGCTTCTGCCCCCAGAACAAAATAATTATGTGGAACCATCCCTACATCCTTAAGTCACAAAAATTGATCAAGATAAACCCTGCTCCAATGGACAAAACTGCTTGAGGGCTTAGACTTAGGCTTTTGAGCATGCTTACAAGCAATCCAGTGTGAGTACCTAGCTGCCTAACTCCTTCCTAAACTCTGGTGCAACACAAATCAGAGCCTGGGGCTGCCTAAAGTATGCCTAGCCATCTTATTTGTCAGGTAACATAAAAATCATTGAGTGTGGTCCAAAGCCCAAGACCTGCAGCCCCTCTCACACACACCTGGTGATAGTGGTGGTCTTTTGTACAATGTCCTAGGGCAGGGAGCGGCAACCCACAGCCTGTAGGCTAGATGCAGCCCATGAATAGTCTAGATCTGTTCCATGGCATCTCAGCAGATCAACAGCACACTCCAGCCATAGCAGCAGAGGAGGTGTCCCCAGAGTCATCTTGCTTGCTGCATTCAATTTATTCTCTCTGCTACCTCAAGGGAGACATCCCCAGGGTCCTAGCACCTGTCTTTTTCCTATCTATTCCTTCACAGCATCTGCCGACTGCCAGGGAGGGGTATGAGAGTACGGTCTGTGGTGAGAGCTGGGTCACAACCAGCAGCCAACACTGGCAAAAGGTTGCCAGCCCCTGCCTTTGATCACTTACCCAGGAGTGGAGCCCTCTAGGTTCTCTTCAGCCTAAGAGGATTCAAACCCACATCTCCCACTTTCCAGGTGAGTCCCTAACTACTAGTTTACAAAATAGACTGTGTGGGTATAGTCTCCACCCATTCTGTAAAATTTGAGTAGAAGATTCATAGGCCAGCAGCAGGGGTATACGAATCTATAGACCAATGATGAGAACATTGCTGTGGGAGAATGGAAACCTGGATTCTTGTCACTGCTTTCCAGGGCTATTTATCTGTTTTATATTAATCATTATTTGACTACCCACTCCCAGAGGAGCACCCAAACCAGTCAGGGGTCCTCTTGTTCTCCTTCTTGTCCTATGAAGCTTGCATTTTGGGCTGTCTTGTAGCCCAGCCAGCCCCACCCTTCCTGTTCTCTAGCCTTGCCATATGCACTCACCTGAGACGTGGGATTTATAAGTTATTGTGAAAAAGTTGATCACTCTTGGCCATATTCAGTGAGTGAAATCTGCTGTGTGTGTTGTGTTCTGAACTCAGTGGTGCTGTCGTTGTGCAAAAAACTCCAGCCCTCTCGAAGCTGTGGAACCTGAGATGACAGAGAAGCAAGGGTTGAGAGATGCCCCTCTGCCTAGTATTTATCATTGGAGACAGGGGTATCCTTGTCTGCTCAGCATCTGGACCCTATGGATTGCCCATCGGAGGCAACTAAGTCCCCCCTACCCCCATTGGTTGTATAAAGAAGCATAGAATCTCATGTTCTTGTTTTGGATCACCCCCCTTGGGTAAAGCAATTAGGGCATTCATACACATATTTTTTTTCCAGCAACGTGCCAGAGATCCACTGCTTTGGAGCAGACTCGATTAATCAAGTCTGCTTCACACACAAGCTGAGGCGAACTGCACTGCACTGCATGCAGTTGTATAAGTGGCAAAATGCACATCAGTGAGCAGAAACTGGTGGTGGTACACTTTTGAACTAAATCACCTCTAGGGTGTTTTAGTTCAAAAGCACGCCACCGCCATTTTCTCAGTGCTGACACATATTTCACCACTTATACAACTGTATGTGTTGCAGTGCCAGGCGCAATTCAAAGCACCCGGAGCTGTGACACATGCATGGATAAAAATGCCCTTATATTTAAGTTATTGCAACACTTGAGATGGACAGGGGTGTTTATAAGAACAACTGGGATTTGACCCCTAACTTCTTAAGCTCCATCCCTTTCCTCAGCATTTCCTATTATGACTGTGGGCAGGTCCCTTCTCAGCTTTCTGGTTTCTGTAGATCCTACTCTAACTTTTCATAGATTGCACAGGAGATGCCTCATTCCAGAGAGAATTCCTTGAGTCATGAGAGCACCTAGAAGTTAATAAGGTGTGCTTAATGCAAATCTGGGGTAGGGGGAAAATAAACAGAACTTTAGGTCACCTTTGCATTCTCTGATCCTAGAGCTTCTGGGAGCAAGCTGGGTCCCCAGAATAAATAAAGCAGACTGAAAGCTGCTCTGTTCTATGCAAACTGCCAACTGTTTGGAAGATCCTGTGGGAGACAAGGATCAACCAGTTGTGGGGCTGTCCCAGCTATATACCTGATCATATCCTTAAAATGGCAACCAGATTTGGAGGCACAAAAAATCCTTTAAAAAGTTTGAAGTTAAAAAAATCCTTCAACGATCAATTAAATCAGATATATAAGGCTACTTTACACCACAGAATGAACACAACACAGCCTTAATGGCCCAAATAATTTGGCCTAAGTGTACAGGTATATAAAAGAAGTTTGAGAGAGTGTAGAGGAGAGCTATGCGCATGATCAGAGGTCAGGAAAACAGACCTGATGATGAGAGGCTGAGCGCCATGGGACTCTTCAGCCTGGAAAAGTGCAGGCTCGGGGTGATCTGGTTGCCACCTACAAATTTATCAGGGGTGCTCACCAGGATCTAGGGGAACATTTGTTCACCAGAGCGCCCCAAGGGATGACAAGGTCAAATGGTCACAAACTCCTCCATGACCATTTCAGGCTGGACATAAGAAAGAACTTCTTTACTGTCCGAGCCCCCAAGGTTTGGAATAGACTGCCACCGGAGGTGGTTCAAGCACCCACTTTGAATGCCTTCAAGAGACATTTGGATGTTTATCTTGCTGGGGTCCTATGATCCCTGCTGACTTCCTGCCCCTGGGGCAGGGGGCTGGACTCAGTGATCCTCCAGGGTCCCTTCCAGCCCTAGTGTCTATGAAATCTATGAAGAGTCCAGCAACTGACAGAATAAGGCACAGACTGAAGTGCAGCCCCCCCATCTAACTTATGGCACTTTACAGAAAGTGCCACGAGTTAGACTGGTCCTCCCAACCCAAAATACATTAGCTGTTGGGTCGGGAGGGTGTGGGATTGAGCTCCAATTTGAAACCAATGCAGTGAGAGAGACTGTGGGTCTGCAGCCTCTTCCCCTAGCTCTGCCCCCACCCCCCCAGGTCTGGTTCTGTCTCAGGATGGGAGGGGGAGAAGGCAGGGGAGGGAGATCTGCTCTGGGGTTTCCCCTACCTTTGCTGGAGGGGTGGGGTGGATAATTGGGGTCCCCCACCTTGGGGAGGAGCTCCAATCCAGCTGCCCCCCCCACTTCCAGGACAGGCTGGGGAAACCCCAGAACAGACCTCCCTCCCCTGCCTTCTCTCCCTCCCATCCTGAAACAGCACTGGGGACAAGGCTGGGCTGCAGCAGCCCAGCCACCAGAGCAGACAGAAGTTAATGCACGCGCTCTGCTTTGGAGCCCCTTCATCTGAACCCTCATATTATAAGGGTTAATTTGTCACATGATTGGAGTAATCTGCAGTCATGTACTTCAGTAAAGGCATGGCTGTAGTGTGCTTTCAAGGGGATGATCAAGTGACAAATGTAATTTCTGTCTGCACCTATAGACATTCATCTGTGACTGTTACTTATCAAAACATTAATCTTCCCCATCTCTTGCAGTTGGAGCTCCAGACGTACTCTTCATCAGAATTCCTATTGGCAGGACATGCAAAATGAAATTGGTGGTAAAGAAATGAAATATTAAAAGAGTGACCCTAGTTACTAGTAAAGAAAACAAAACCAAATAGTATCTTGCACTGGCAAGGAATAATCTGAAGAGAGAATGAATGGGCACTATATAAATATTTTAAAGAAAAATCAAAACCTAAATCAAGAGAGCATTGTACAAGGGGAAAACATGAATCAGAATCTAAAGAACGAAAAATGAGCAGAGGACAACTGATGTTGCCTAGGTGCGAAGGGGTGGACTAGATGAACTCTGTTATGTATTAAGTGGTACATGTGTGTATGCGTCAAGATAACTTCTAGCTTTATGTCCTGGACAGTCAGTTCAGCAGCTAGAAAGAGGTTACAAATGGAAAGACTGGTCAGTTTGGAGACCAAGAATCAAATGCAGGAGATGAAGGATTACACCCTATTCAGACTCTGCATGCAGCCCAGCCCCATTTTTCAAGTGTACTAAAATAGTAGTGAAACAACACAAAATGTTGACTTTTAATTTTATTATTATTTTTTTTTATAACTAGACTTCAGAATTAGCATCCCCTTGAAATGGATGTGGCAGTTCATACCTCTTACAACCATTGATCCTACATACTATGGGTGTGCGAAACGGGCCCCATTCAATTCAGATTCAGATTTGGCCTGAATTGGGGACAGTGATTCAATTAATTGATTTGGATCACTGTCCCTGATTTGATTCGGCCGAATCCAAATCTGAAGATTCACTGCATCAGCGATTTGGCCATAGACACAGCTTTAAAAGTTTTTTCTACATACCTTGAGGTAGCAGGTACAGCTCGTGATTGCTGCAATGCTGGGGTGGATGAAGCGTCCCACAGGAGTGCGTTCCCCCAGCCTCCCCCCCCACCCCACCCCCAATGCTCAGTGGCAAACCCAGAAGTGGACTGGAAGTATTTCCGGTCCACTTCCAGGTATGCCAAGGAGCATGCTGGAGGGCCCCCTGTACCCACCAATCAACCACAGGGGGACCCCAGGTGCTCCCCCCAAACCCAGGAGGCACCAGTCATTGAGCTCCTGGTCCACTTCTGGGTGCTCCTGGTCTTCCACTTCCGGGTCTGCTGCCGAGCATACTGGAGAGCCCCCGTGCTTCTGTGGGACACTCCATCCACCCCACCAAAAGTGGTGGCACCTCAGGCTAGAAATAGATGTTGCCGAATGAAGCAGGTCAGCTGTACCGTGACGTGTCTTATTCACTTCACTGGGTGAAACACACAACACCCCGACTCCCACCTTTGATGGTGCAGGAAAAAGGGCAATGTGATCTCCCCACTTTTCCCATGGCAAGTTTCTTCAACACTGGGGCTGTTGAAGGGCCCCACAAGGATGGCCCTCATATGGAGAACAGTGAGAACAGGAGCAGGAGAGGTGACTTCACTGGGAAAGCAAAAGGAAGGATTATGAAAACAGAGGATGGGAGAGTAATGGAAGGATCCCAACAGATTGGAAAGCTGGGCTGGAGCTAATAGGATGAAGTTCAATTCTGACAAATGTACCTTGGGATGAATAATAAAAAAAGTACAGGTACAAAATGAATGGCACATGGCAGTATGGCAACATAATGGAAAAGAATCTTGGAGTCTTGGTAGATTACAGATTCAATATGAGTCTGCAGTGTGATGCAGCTGTACAAAAGGCAAATGTGGTTTTAGAATGCATCAAAGCATTAGGTACAAGACACAGGAGATGATAGTTTCTCTCTACTTGGTGCTGGTTAGGCCTCATCTAGAATACTGCGTGCAGTTTTGGGTTCCACATTTTTTAAAGGAGAGGGTACAGAGGTGTCAAAGATGATCAAGTGCTTGGAAAGCAAGTCATGCAAGGAGAGGCTAAAGGAACCAGGCATGTTCTGCTTGAGGAAAAGGCACTTAAGAAGAGACATGATAGCAATCTTCAAATAGTTGAAGGGCTGCCATAAAGAAGAGGGAGAACACCTTTTAGCTCATGCTGCAGAGAATAGGATGCAGACCAATGTCTTGAAGTTCCAGTAAAGTAGGTTTAGATTGGATATCAGGAAAAACTTCTGCACTGGT